AAAAAAAAAAATCATTCCACATTCTGGCTATTCACAAAGCATTTCAATAGTGTGCAAATTGAATAATATTTTCTAGAATCAGACCAATTCACCAAATCAGTAACTACTCTTTAAGCAACATAACAGACCATCATTTAAGTGGGTTTAAAGACTGCAATTTCCTTAGTGCCTATATTATTAATAACTGCACAGTCAAAAACTTAAAAGCTTTACACAAACTATTTTAAAGATTTGTATCATATTTGAATGCTATTTATGACCTGTTAAAAGTAACAATACTCTTTCATATTACCATAAACTTCAAAAAGGGTGAGGTACTTTTTCAAATCAAGTCACAAACTCAGAGAACAAATCCATTGGGGATTATGCACAAAATGTTATTTGGTATTTTCATCAACCAAAAATTATATATATTTCCTTTGTAATGTGACTATAAAACTCTTAAGACTGATTAATTTTAAAATGAAGCTTTACTGTGTACTTGCACTGGAGATAGGGAGGAATAAGCAGAGGTATCTCTAGTTGCCAATTTCTTCATATGAAGCTTTACAAGTAATAATCTTCCTACTCATTGATATTTTCCTACCTCATACAACTCAATCCAAATAAAAATCCAGGAAAACTCCCAAAAGGTCAACCACAATATACAAAAAGAAGGAAAAAAAATTGGCTATGGCTTTGTGTAATTATCTTATACTTTTAATGGGTTCCTAGGTTACCTTTTCCTCATTCTCTAAAGCAGTGGCCTTCAAACTATTTTCACAATGACCTAAAGATATACACAACAATACATAAAATGAAATTATAATTTAAGGAGTCTGCTGAACTAACATTTCCTATTTTTTGAAAAAATGCTGGTTATATTCCACTAAATAAATTTACATGGACCCAAACAGGTCAAGACATCCAGCTGAGAAATACTGGTCTTTAGTCATTTATCTTGAAATATGATTCCTAGTAGTGCATTTTGTTTGAACAAAATGTTTACCATTATGTAATAATATGGACATTTCAGAAGACATTTTAATAAAGGAATTTTAGCTATTATAAAATGGTGACCCCCCCAGTTCCATATCATTATAAATTAAAAAAACAAAGTTTTTTGTTTATACCTTAAAACTCTGATTCTTCCACTGTTAACACTTTCTGCATGAAGAAATCACTAAAATGCTGATGTCAGGTCTTCACCAGAGAGCTCATCAAGTGTGTCCCTTTCTCTAGAATATACCTAAACTAGAAATTTTCTTTTTTGAAATTGGCTTTTTTTTAAAATTTGGCTCTCACAGTCAATCAATGATTGCTTAATAGGCTACAGGAAAGTCAATCAGACCACTTATAAGTATGCTCTTAAAATCTGTTTGCGCTCTTAGTGTGGGCTTTAATTTTCGGTCAGCAGTCCTTACTTCTCTTCCTTCTATGTCCATTGCTCTGCCCTTCCAGCACTTGGACAGATGCAAGAGCAAGGAATAAAGTTCACTTTAAAGAGCTGCAATATATTTATAAATCAAATCATCCAATTTAAAAATGCTTTTAGACTTTAAAAATAATAAGCACTTTGGCCTATATGGCGAAAAAATTACACTCATTTCTCTGTAGGATTTTAGATATGCAAAATTTCAAATAGTTACTAGGCATCATATTTGTACCAAGAAATGAATAGCATTAAAATTTTTCTATACGCAGAAAACAGGGTCTTCCAGGAATTTATGGTTGAAAAATAAACCTTTAGAAAAGCAGTATGTCAGCATTGCTTGCAGGGATAGTTAAGAGCACTATACTGCAGAATGTAAAGAAAGGAAACTAAGGGAAATACTTAAAAAAAAATTTATAATAGTGACAGAAAAAAGGTTCAATATGCAAATAAGGCTTTAAGACATCTTTTTTAAGAACTGACAATCAGTACCTTTTTAAATTTTCCTTGTCGTTTTGCTGCAGACTGCCCCTGGGAGTTAGAACGACATTCTGTAAGAAAACATGCATAATCTACACAGGATGGAGACAATACCTCTGTCTAATTTGCTTCCAGTTTATGTTCCACCTGTGTCACAGCACTTAGAAGGGTCAGGTCTCTAATCAAAATGGCATGCTTTTAAGGATAGCAACATGGCCACTTTCACTTTTTAAATAAAAATGCACTCAAATATGTTATTCCTAAGAGTAAATCTTTTTCAACTTTTTATTTGAAAAATTTAGATCAAAATCCATTAGTGATGAGAACATTTTTTAAAATACTAAATTTAGCTGACAGTCTACAGAGTCTGATTTTAAAGGATGTCATGACAATCACACAAGCTTATGCATTTGTATAAAAAGCATCAAAGTTACTGTGAAAGTCAAAGGTAAGTAAAAATTAAGTTACTTTCCCAACTACCAAAAACAAGAAATGCAAAACTATTGAGAAAAGATTTAAACAATGTGATAGAAATTACAACCAACTCAATAGCTTTAGATTATTGCTCTCTCTCAAGAAAGTCTACCCTGATAAATAATAACTATAGTTAATATCACCTGTTTATAATTTAATATCACAACTGCCTCTGAAACAATTTAGGTAGGAAGTAGTAACTATTTCTGAATTGCTAAAAGCATACCTCTATTAACAATGCTTTTTTATTATACTCTTTACAAGGAAGTGGACTCTGTAAGAGTCATCTGTCATGTGAATGAAAAATTCATAGCTGAAGTAGCTATGCTTCCGGTGATATGAAATCTAACAAAAATGACTACCAGGATTTCTTAAATCAGTGCATGTATGAATTACAATATCATTAACAACTGACTTACTTTAAATTATACTGAAGTATGCATGTATAAAAAGTATAAACTGAAATGAGAACCAAGAAATGTCAGAGTAGGCAACTTTTTCTAAGCACAAAATTCCCCAATTATGCTTCTATGACGGTAGATAAATAGCCTTGGGTTCAACAGCAGCAAGAAATAAATACAATTTTAAGATGTATGAGATCTACTAATTTTGACAACAGCATTTGTAGATTCCAGCATTAGGTGGTAGACTTACTTAGCTTTGTAAGAACTAACACTAAAGAGAAATGCAAACATGTAAGAATGACAACTTTTACTGCACTGAGCTAAAATGACTTTACAAAAAAGGTGACAAATCTATATAAACACCATTCTCACAATAAATTTGTAATGAAAACACAGACAGAAAAAAGAAAAACAGGCACCTGTAAAATTGTAACATTTATCTCCAAACTACAACCAGCAACATGTTTCTAACAAAACGCATAATTTTAAAACGAAAAGGCAATGCCAAAATAAATATCTCATATTTTCTATTATGCAAAACTCCAACCAGAAAAAGATCCGTACATGGGTGAAAAATACCATTCCTTAGTAATAATTATTCCAACTAATTTTTAGAAGCAATCCAAGAGAATGTGATTTATTCCTATATCCATAATATTATGTTGGTTAAAATTCTACAACACGTTTTAATGTTAAACATCACATTTACTTAAGCAAAGTTTGATTTGGATCTACATGTTTCGCAGGAAGTGTGTGTGTATTAGCCACGTGAGGTAGGACAGGTTCAGGGCTCAGGTATTTAAGCTTGTGAAAAAGAACACTAAATATTTGAATATATGACTCATTTTAAAAGATAACCAAATATTAATTGACCTTCACTATTAACTTGGGGAAAAAAACTATTGAAATTTTCTTTCCAGGGATATCTTCTCTTTTACCCATTCTGAAATATAGAATTAATTTCCATCTTCAAAGAAATGGAAATTTTGGAATAGGTAATTTCAGTGTAAATAAACTAATACTTACAGCTTTCTTTCCAAGTTCAGTCTTTGACAATGTTAAGGATCCTACAAGGTAGCATCCAGGTCCTGCCCCTTTAGGTATTCTAACAAAAGGAAGAGGGGGGAAATAAAGCAACAAAAGAGAAAGTTTCACAAAGATAATTAAGCAGAAAAACACCAAAACAATTGAATGAATTCCCAAAGCTAAGATTTCAAGAATCAAAAGGGAGAAATACCATCAGTCTAAAATAATAAATGACAACATACTATAAATTTGGCCTAATGTATTGCGTATGAGACGGGCATTAAGTACAAGCAATGTTATCACTTACTTATCATCAGGTAAGGAAGTAACAAAGAATGGCTGGTTATATTTGGGTGGTAATGTCAAATTGCTTGATTTCTTCTTTCCCAGAAGTGCAAGACTATGATTTTCATGAATATCTAAGCTCAAGGTATTAGACAATCTATGAGAAACAATAAATGGAAGATCTTTAAGACGTTCCAAATCACTGATTTGCTCATGGCGAATCTGTAGCCGAATTGTATAATCTCCTTTCTCCAGTTTCAAAGAATACTAAAAATAAAAAACAACATTTGGGTAAATTAAGTTTAACTAGGTAAACTGAAATCACAGTTAAGAGGATAAAGTGAAACAGTTACCATTTTCAGACTGCTTACAATATGTGAGGTACAGTGCAAGCCACTCTACAAATATCTACCTATACACAAAGACCCTATAGTGTGCTGGTGGGCAACAGGCTCAGGGACATCAAGTGAGTTGCCTACACAATACAAAAGTATAAAGGAGCTGGAGTCAGGACTAACTCCAAAGCCCTTAACTGTTTCCACAACAACAGAATACTCTCGTATTTTTAGCAAAAATCAGTGTATGCTCAATACCGATAAAACCCATGATTTTCTAGTTCATGCATCCTCAGAGACATGTACAAAACAATGCCAAGAAGTTCGCAAATTGTGGTGGCTCACACCTGTAATCCTAGCACTCTGGGAGGCCGAGGCAGGAGGATCGCTTGAGCCCAGGAGTTTGAGACCAGCCTTAGCAAGAGTGAGACCCCATCTCTACTAAAAATACAAAGAAATTAGCCGGACAACTAAAAAAAAATAGAAAAAATTAGCTGGGTGTGGAGGCACGTGCTTGTAACAAACGTGTATACATATGATGGTTGGTTGGTTTGGTATGTATGTATGTGTTCATTTATTTAATTAATTAATTTATTTGATATGGGGTCTCTCTATGTTGCCCAGGTAGGAGTGCAGTGGCTATTCACAGGTGCAATCATAACACACTACAGTCTCAAACTCCCAGGCTCAGGCTGTCCTCTTGCCTCAGCCTCCTGAGCAGCTGGGACTACAGGTGCGCATCAGTGCGCCCAGCTCATCTTTATAATATAATCAAAATGCCATACCGCTTTATCACAGACGGGAAAAACAGGAAGTCAACAGAGATCAAAAAATAAAAATCTACTATGCTCCACCAAGTTAACATGTACAAAAGAATAGGATGCTATACTCTATAGCAGCAGTTTCTTCTGAGATTAAGAACTAAATGAAGTAATGGCACTGCAATAATCCAGTCTGTAATGAGATGTGACTCTGCTTGCTTTGAAGAAAAAAAGGATGTCATTCCTTGAATGACTAACTGGAAAAAAACCTTCATATATTTTCATCATTCAGCCTAAAATTATAAATGATACAGGAACTATCTCATTTCTTTGTAAAAATATTTAGGTGTAAAATTTCTATAAATTACATGATTACAGGATTTTTTCTCTTCAGTGTGGCAGCACAAAGCATGATGCCTGACATGTAGTAAGCACGCAATACACAGCTGTCCAAGGAAGAAGTAAATTTGAAAGTACTAATAAACTGAAGACACAGGACCACTGCCATAGTGCTCTCTTTATCCTATTCAGACCAGGTGCTCACATCTCTCTGATGATTTGCTTTCCACCTACAGACAGGTGGAAGCAATGTGCACGAAGGAGAAAAGTTAAAAACAAAAAGCCATCCTGACCAGTGTCTGCAAGCGTTATGTTTGTCCTCTACCCCAAAACATGATTCATCCCAACTACATGACAGAAAAGTTGTCACAATCTGTTCAACAACTACAATAAACAACAAATCTTCTCGTGGTTTAAAAAGTACTAAATGTAAAACGATGGCATTTAAAACAAATATGAATATTACCATAACAAGAAATCAGAGTTTCATTAGTTCAGGAAACAGCTTCTGTTAATTCTAAAAATTACTGGGAATTTTATACCTGATGTGGATAGGCATCGCCTGAACCCATCTGTCTTTTGTTCTGGTCAAAAATAATCCACAGCTGGCTGTCAAATTCTGATTCATATAATAATTCACAAAGTAGTGGGCAGCTTGGAGTTACTTCCCCACTCTTAGGCTATAAAAAAATAAAAATAAGAATGATTACTTGACATAGTTTACGTAGGATACCTGTTTTTTTCTTTTTGAGACACGAGTCTCACTCTGTTGCCCAGGCCAGAGTGTCATGGCATCAACCTAGCTCACAGCAACCTCAAATCCCTGGGCTCAAGCAATCCTCCTGCCTCAGCCTTCCAAGTAGCTGGGACTACAGGCGCACACCACCATGCCTTGCTTATTTTTTCTATTTTTAGTAGAGACGGGGTCTCACTCTTCCTCAGGCTGGTCTTGAACTCCTGAGCTCAAGCGATCCTCCTGCCTCGGCCTCCCAGAGTGCGAGGATTACAGGTGTGAGCCACCACGCCCGGCCAGTTTACATATGATTTCTAATACAGATTTTCAATATTGTTATTGACATCAGACTTCTTCACTTAAAAATACTAAAAATGCTTCCTTGCGTTAAAAAAAATTGTGAAATGTAGAACATCTAGTATTTTGGCACTAATGAAAGACACTTTTACAGAGTTTTAAAAATACAAATCGAGCTATCTTTATTCATTAATAAGCAATATATATTCATTAGGACCTCTGATTACTTCATAAAGTTGAAATCTGACAATTCACTGAAATCAATCATCTCCCTAACATTAAAACCAAATTGATACTGTGTTTCCACGACACTTTTATTGAAATCTCATCAAGCCTACAAAATTCTTCCATCCAGCATTTCCACTGGCCCCAATTACTTTTACCACTCATCCCACCTAGGAGCTATTCTGCTCTTTCCCTGTGCTGATGCCTGCCTTCACAGAAAGCAGGCAGGCCCAGCATCACGACCAGAAGGCATGTGGTATTTCTGAGACATCTAGCTGTCCCTGGATCAGATGGCACCACTAGCCAGGTATCAATATCAGTGATTATAAAAACTAAGGCTCAAGGCCAGGTCACCACTAAATTACACTTTGTGACTTCACACCTGAATGGTACTTAGATAATCATAAATTATAATTTCCTAAAGAGTAAGTCCAAATTAATTCCATGTTAATTACTTGATTGTACTTATATATCTCATATATACTTTCTACTTTTGATTTTATGACTCATAAACAAACACAGAAATTCATCAAAAGGGTATACTTTATTAGGTAAACACTTACTTGATGAAAGCTGTATGTCAGGACCATCTCATAAAGTTGACGATTATTTGGCAAAACATCCCTTGATCCTAAAGGTTTTGTTTTTGCACTCACTGGCCTGTAATGAGGGAATCGCATAACTGATTTAACAGTTCATTGAATGAGACAAATAAAAGCGTAAGTAACAAAATCTATAAAATGACAGATGAGCATTCCTGAAAATTGTGCTTTTCAGTATACTTCATAACATTTTAATCAGTAACATATAATTCTTTATTGATTGAACCATAGCAATACATGCAATAAATATTACAAAGATAATCTTTTCATGATAAAAACATTTTCAAGTGCTGCCAAATAGTTCTTAACACAATCAAATCTCAACATTAGGGTGACAATCTCTAACAGTGTTACAGGATAGGTTTTGATCTGAACCCTTCTATCTAAACTGCTGACAGTGCTACCCATACACAACACAGGCCACCCGAGCCAGGTCACCCGAGCCAGGCCACCCTCGCTCCCCGGTGCTGCTCACCACACACCAAGGGCCACACTCAGCCCTCATCTTGACTGAGTGAATGGTATTTATTCTTTTTAGTAGTCCTCTGAAGCAAGTTATTAAGGTACAGATTTTGTAAAGGAGAACACTGAGATTGGGAACATGAGTTTTAAATATAGTTAAAAATGTTGATAAAACTTAATAGTCTGCTTTAAATTTAGTTCTAATTTTGAGAGTTTGGGGAAAACATTAAAATGACAGAAACTGGATATACCTTCTTCAAAAGTTGAAGTCTTAAGTTTTATTGATAATTCTAGAAGGCAGTATATCTTTACACATAATTGTGTCACTGACTACTATCCTTAATGCCCTTATTACTAGGCTTCATGCTGATATGAGTTAAGGTCAGATTAAACAATAAAAATCAGATATCTTTCAACTATAGTGAGTGTGTGAACATAGGTCAAGGTGCCCTGCTTTCATAGAGGAAGCTGCTCAGGCACCAACAGCAGACTATAGTACTTAAGTTTCTACCATTCAATAAAACTTTCTAGTAATGCAGTTTCTGAAAGGACTGGACAAAGATTTGGAAAATAATGTCAGAGGAATGTTAACTTGTTATTTTATGGCAAGAAATAAAAAGGTTAATGCCCACTGATCCTAAGTAGGCTTGACTGGGATGGACTATCCATCATACTTAACCAGCTTGTGCTGGTCAGGCGGGATAGTGAGGCTAGAAGCTACTCCTGGGGCTGCCTCCCAGAGAACTGCAAAGATACATTCTCATCTCCAACTTTCAGATGGATTTAAGAAAAACTCTTTTCAAAGAGTGTAAGAGATTCCCCTCAATCAATATTCACTATTTGTAGCCCCTAAAATATAGAATGGTACCGTAGTGTTTGGACCCAGTTCTTCAAGGTTATGCAGGGAGCCAGATCTTCATATTTCAAGGAGGACTGAACATCAAAACGGTTGATTCCTTCAGATGCATGCTACGAAGGATATTTACCATATTACTTTCTTAAACATTATTAAAAAATTTCCCCATTAAAGTTTAAATCAAACTAATGAAATTACTTGTCAATAATAAAAATAGTTGACATTAAAAATGATGTAAATGTTGTAGAACTTACAATGTTTAACTGAGGAGCAGTACACACTATCCCATGGAAAGAAATAGTATAATCAATATTGACATCACTGAGACTTGCCCACCAACGAGCAATGCAAAATTCAATTGCTTTACCACCCTGCAGAAAAAAACAATAAATTATAAATAAATCTCTTCTCTTATTTTTCATCAAATTATGGAATATAAGTATTAGCTGTTTTAGAGCAATTCTATGCTTTTAAAGTTTCCTATTTGTAGTAAGAAAATGCAAAGAACTTTTATCAGCTATGCTAAGAGACAAATCACAGTTGCATAGACAAGATGTGGGTATTTAAATATACATAGTTATTTACCCATAATCTTATACTTTTTGTCATGAAAGAGCTGAGGCAGCTTTTGAAAGCACAATAAAATAATGGTGAAAAATAAGATGGAATAAAAAATTAGGACCAAGAGAAAAATAATTAGGAATAATGACAAGAGAAAGGATACTGTAACTTTGTAAGTTATATTCAATAGCCACAGCTGAGTTTTGGGCTCAGGGATGCCTGCCAACCAAAGCAAAATGAAATCACGGTCACATTATTCTTATTGAAAAATAAAAATAATAAAATAAGGACAAACTGTTTTAAATCACTAAGTGTTTTAGCACTAAGTTTTAAATCAAATTTTCTAGTAATCAGTGAGTGGGAAAGTTTAAAAAGATGAGTCATGTAACAATGATCCACAGAAGAACACAAATGAAAGTAACCAGAAACACAAGAGATAAGGGAAAAAAAATCACACAAACCAACTGAAAACAAAAAGTAGAAGTTTAGGAAAGAACATCAGTACCTTCACCTTCTATGGAAGAAAGACTAGTCATCACTTCTAGCACCAGAGATAAGACTGGAGATCTCACATTATTTGAGATAACTTAGACATGGAACAGCAGCAACTTAACATCATAGATTCTTAACAAAAGGGTATTAATAAAATAACTGACATACAGAAAAGTCTTAAAGAAGGAAATAATCTGTTTTGCAATGAGGAAGCAATCTAAATCAGGGTCTAAATTATGAGGTATGACACTCTACCAGACTAGCATTTTTCTTTGACTAAATTATTCAAAAATTAAAGAGATGAATATTTACCTCCAATCAGTTTCAAGTACCCTAATTAGACTTCCTATCTTTCTACTTCACTTTTTTGGCATTAACAAAATACACAGTTCCAATGTACTCTGAATAGAAACTATAAGATCAAATTCAAATACTTAGTCTTAGCCCGTACCAAAAAGGAAAATAATTATTTTAGGATTTCAAATTGCAATTAAACTTACTAGGACAGGAAAAGCTTCAGTCAGTGTTCCTTTTTCTGGGAGGGAACAAAACTTATAGAATTCATGACTTCGATATGCTCTTTGCTTCACAAGCTGTACTGCATGAAGAACAAACTTGGCTGACACCTCAGAAGAACATGAACACACTGTAACTTCTAAAACAACAGGGAAAGAAGCAAAGTTTTAAACTGTTAAGACTTAAAATCAACACAGAGTAGTTTTAATAATTTCTACTTGTTTAGGGATTATATCAAAAATAAAAGGATATTCAAATGAAATCTGTAAACTTCCTTAAAAACAATCAACAGAATATTAATAAAGCTAGAAAGGTATAAGATTTTCTTTGGGAAATAAACTGGTATAAAAATGAACCACCACCACGCTACAAACACCAGGAAACAGAAGCTGTCCACAGATGTACACACTATTATCCTAAACAGGTACCTTTTAAAATCCCTTTCTTTCTTGTTTTAGCTGAAAACCAATCAATTCCTGATATAGAAGATTGTAATTTGTTATCATGCCTCAATTCCATTAGTACCTATTTATTCAACTTCATTAATAACTTTTCCTACTCTCTTCCTCTTTACTTGTGTCCTGTTTGCATCTAGAAAGTATGACCATCAGAACTACACCTGCTTAACTTTACTCTGAGACAGAGCTGGAGAGAAGCCAAAATCACTGTGAAGCAAGATCAGCAACTTATCTAAAGAATACCTGCTTTAATTCAAGGGAACTGGGAACTGAAGCAAGGATCAATCCATTGGTTCACAAAGCCAAGTGGGCACAGAGCTTTTGAAACCTCATCAGTTGCTAAGAATACAAAATCTAATCTAATGTTACCACACTATGTCTAATTATTTGAAATAGAAATCATCTGTAGATTTCTAATCTAAGACTGTTAAATGCTCTAAGCTACTTTCATTCTAGATCACTTGATAAATTTTTATTTAAAAAACTATTTTAAATGCTTACCTAAATAAATCATAATTAGGCCATTATAATGACTCACATTTACCACTAAATAACACTAACCACAGATTTTTATTCTTTAATATTAATTACCACTGTGCATTTTACCAGATCCTCGAGCTGTAAAACTTCAAGGGGCCCTGTGTGAATGGCACCACAGAGTTGTTCAACGGAGCAATTCTGACTCTACCCCTTTGAAGAACTGTCAAGTGTATGAATGTAATCTCAACATGGATGAACCAAGGAGTTTATAAAATCTCTAATCCTTTCAGCAAGAGAATAAACAGTATTTATAGTTCAAAACAGAAGTTCAGATAATTAAGAAACCTGCCCCAGGTAATCATTAGTGTATGGCAGAGTCTGGATTGTTAAAGCAGTGTGCACATTAACAGGCTATACTGGACCCTGTTCAATTCGTTGCTTTAACTCTCAGCTTTTGCTATTCATTATTTTGCCCTTACCCAGTTGTATAAAACAAGAAAAGCCTTCCATTTCCTGTGCCATCAAGTGACAGACAGATGGACTGCATATAGACAGATGACCAGAAGGTGGTATGGGGAACCACAAAGACAATTAGCTCTTCCCAAACTAGCTCTCATATGATTTCATTATTTCATTTTTAATAAGCTTAGACGTAAACACATCTGTATTTGCATATGAGTATTAAAATACATTCCTAAGTTAAATACAAGCCGTTTTTACATGGCACCTATCTACCTTATAGGTTCTGACGAGACTGGATGAGATATAATCTGTGTAAAAAGCCCAGCAGAGGGCCCTAACCCAAGAAATATTAATAAGGTTGGCTACTAATTTAAATTGGGTGACACTTTCTTGACTGTCCACATTTCTTTCTTTCTATCAATGTGAGTGAGCTCTGACAGCTTACATTCCCCACCCCCAATACTGACTTCTGAATTACATAATTAGGACGTAGAACTTGTGAAGGAAAATATGGTATACCTATACGCTTGTATAAAGGCATGACATGATTACTTTCATAGGACTGTAATATATAATTCAACAGCATTGTTTAAGTAATCATTTACTCTCAAAATTTCAGAGACACTAAAGTAAAAATCTTTCATGAACTTTCGATTTGTTTATAGAACTTCAAAGATTGAAACTCCATTTCTAAAATTCTGCAAGTTTGACATTTTAGGTTTAAGCAACAGCTGCTCTGGTTAAATAGATTTGTAGCATTCCTTAAAAAAAAATCTTAAGATGGCCTAGATAATATGCTGTATAAGCCAATGCAAAATAGTACTAGATTTAAAAAAAAATTTAAATCTAACAGCAAATCTAAGGTACTAAATACATATAGTATTATTATGAGAAAAGTAAGTGTTGCTAATAAACAAACTTCACATAAATCATCATACAGATGAAATGTACATGGAGATAAGTGGTCAAGACAGACTTTATTTTACTTACCAGCCCATGTTGCACCCTCAGGAACCTCAATAAAATGCCTTCGAATTTGACCAGGTTTAAAGTGTACATCTGTAAAAGCTACATCATAATGTGATGATTCATTTACTCTGAAAATACAAATAAATTATTAAATGTGATTCACTCATAAAACAGCTTTATGTTTATAGTAAGCCCACTGGTACTCTAGATTTTATTGAATAAATATAAGAGAACAGTTCACTAGAGATAAACACAGGGACTTAAACGCTGGTTACAAAACAGTATGCACAACATCCAGTTTTTGCAACATGTTAACAAAGATAACCTCTGGATAGCAGATAATTCTTTCGGTCTATTTTATAATTTGTAAGATATATACATACACACTATAAAAAAAGCTCTTTTTTGTTAAAGGAATTTTACAACATTCACAGAATTTTCCAATTACCAGATTCTGAACGATAGTGAGTCCTAGATATTAATGGGTAATGTTTTGTGTCACTCACACTGTCTTATTGCTATGAGTCTGGTTTTAAATTAAGCTCCTCTTATAGCTTCAAAATGCTCCCATGCTGTAAAATATTAAAGAAGAATGACAAACTACTTTTGAAGCATTTTTGTAAGCAATCAATGAAACATAAAGGTCAGATGTATAACTACATGCCATGGAAACTACGTAGATGCTAGAGATAAATTCTTGTCTGTATGACATTTAATGAGTGCCTACTACACAGGAGGAACTGTTATCGGGAGCTACAAATATAAAAATGAAGAAAACCTGAGCCTTTGCCCTCCACAACCTAGTGGGGAGAGAGAAACCATCAGAGACATTTAACATAAGATGCTCCTGGCAGACAGGAAGCTTTAGGGGAAAATGGGTGAAGAATACTTGTTCATTCAAAGGGAACCCAGGAAACCTTCCTGAAGGAGATGATGTATCAGCTGATTCCTGAAGGTCTTATAAATTACCTTGTCTAAATTCCTACTGGACTTTGAGGGAATATATGGCTGAGAATTTAACTGTTGTGCAATTTTTCCATGTGTATGCCACTTTTTAATCTACTCGATTTCAAACTATGTTTCTCATGGGCTGAGACTTGTTACATGCTTATTATTTGTCCAAATAACAAATTCAACAGAAATTGTTAACTTAGAACTTTCACTTGTTTCCAGTACTCTCATACTCCCAATCTCACCATTGATCTACTAAACAATTTGCTTTGCTTTGTACATACTATGTAACAGGCTCCATGTAGGAAGGAGTAAGATACAGTCCCTGTGTCTTCAGTGGTCTCAAATGGCATAAATTAATTAAAAAGTTACAGTATTTTAGCTAATGTCTGTTCAGGGGCATGTAGATAGTGGCACGAGGCAGAAAGAAGGGACTCCCTTTATCCAGGGAGGACCAGTAATGTGTCTGGCCAATAAGTTAAAAGACAGGCAATCAAAGCAAAGCAATCAGCTGTGTAAACGCACAAATCCCAAGGAAACTTGGAGTATCAGAATCAGGGAGTCGGTTAAAATGTGTAATTTGTTGTATGGAATGACTGGAAACACTGATTGGGACCATAATTGCAAGGGATCATTGTTTACTATTTTAAGAAGCTTGAATCTGATCCTTGGAAGTGCTACTGAAATATTTTAAGCAGGAAGTAAAATGACCAGATTCCATGGCCCCAGGGTGGATAAGATGGAAATTTAGAAGCCTAGAAACATTAAATGCCTAGAAAAGTGGAAGAACCAGGAGAAAAGAATAACCCCAGACACAGGGGGACAAAAAAGGCAGGGATGGAAAGGGATTAAGTAATATTATCAAACCCTGCAGAGGGACTGGGTAAGACGAAAGCTGAGCTATCCTCTCAACTGGGCAATGAAGAGGTAGGTCATCAGTAACCCTGACAGTTTTGATGGAAGAGTAGGGCAGATGCCAAGTGCCATCACTTGTTCTCACAGTTAACAAGGAATGACATGGCTGACTCACACCACCTGAAAATGCTAGCCAGTAGCAAGAATTAAGACTACATCCCAAATACTTAGTTCCGGACTGGTAATCCATTAAAAGTCTACACTACTCCATAAATAGTCATTAAAAACTTCAATGTGACAGTAAATGGTGAATAACCTGTTACTTACTTTGCTGCTATGACTGCAGTGATCGGAACTCTGAACAGAGGACCTGCATTAGGGGATGCTATATCATAGCCACATACCTTGAAAAAAGAAAGATACGTTTCAATATCCATAAACAAACTTTTAAAAGAGGGGAAAAAAACGTATAATCTTTTCACAGAATAAATTAATTCAATTTTAAAAGTTAAAGGTCCTAAGCACAAGGTGATACCAATTTCCCAACACTTAATCACACAACAGCAAACAGCCCAAACAAATACATGCATAACAATCTCTGACTAATTCAGACTAATGGGGAAATGAGGCATCAAGTACAAATCAAATAACCTTAATTACTCTCAACTGAATATCAGCTCAAACTAGTACTACAGACAACTTTGGAGGCAGAGATACTGTTCCATGCTTATTTACAACTACTGTTTAACAGATGCTTTACACATCTAAGTATTTAAAGGTAACTGCAGCCAGGATTAGCTGACTAAACAATGACCTAAGTAAAAAGGTTCTGTTGTACCAATTCTCTCCCTTTGCTGCTTTACAAAAGGACATGACATTCTTAATGTATTTTGCTGCTTAAATGGATACAGATATACCAAAAGAGCAGTAAAATTTTGGAAGTTAAAAGGTATAGCTGTTTCTTAAAAGAAAGCAATACATTGCAAATATACTTGGGATAGTTTATTTTTAACTTTTAAACATTTTAAAGAGTAAAGAAAGTCAAAATGAAGACATGTCAATACCTCTGTATAATGCAATCCTTCTCTTAAGCCCCTGGGATCCACACGTATGTTTATGTGTCTACATTGATTCATAAGTTCCAAATGGCTGGGACATTGAACCCAAGATGAATTTGAAGTTAAAGCTAAATGAAGCTGAAGTGATATTTTTTCAGAGTTTTCTGGCATAAAAAGACCAAAAGTTAAAAATTAGTATTTTTTTCCTTTTCTTCCATTTTAAAAAGTTCTGTCTTCTCTCAAAAAAATTCAGCAACTTAGTTTAATTGATTGTGAAATGTACCCAAAACACGGCTTAAATAAAACAGTCACAGAATCTTCCTTACGTTTCAGCACAATCATGATCCACTCGTATTTTCACCAGACACTGGTATGACTTTAAAATACATTTTAGTGGATATTTTTCATTACTGTGTGCAGATAATAATAGCATTTGACTGAATGAAAACTACCAAATACAAAGTGAAGACTACTTTTGTTTATACCTAATTGAGCTGCAATTCTCCCTGGCTGCTTCCACTTTCCAACTGAAAGCTCTATCTTCTACCCAAGCAGTTAAAGTGGGAAAGAAAAAGAATTTGATGTTTTATTATCCACAATGTAATAAAACCATTCTACAGTTTTTCCTCAGTAGTCAAGATGTTAATTGCACTGCTATTGAACTGGGACTCTGAAGTGCTCTACTATTTTCCCTTGAATCTATAAGATTTAAAATAATCATATTGTCAATTCATGCTTGCTTTTCAGAACACTGGCCCAAACAGCATTTCTCTATTGTGATATCATTCAAATCACAAATGTGAATCTTTCGGCTTACTGCAGGCTATATCTGACCTGTGTTCTCTGGAAATACAGGTTCAATGCCAACGCCGTGATCTGAAGGTGCAGCCACCTGGACAGGATCTCGGAGGTAGATGCCACGGTTATTTCCAACAGTAACAGTGAAACCTAATTTATTAGCGAATGATGTATTCTGAACGAGGTAGTCATAGGCTTTATCAACCTAATTAAAAGAATATAAAAGGCTGAGTCAAGAAAATACTTTGTTGCAATTTACCAATCCACATGATTTCAGTTGAAGCAAGTGCAAATAGGAAGTTTCCATATGTACCTCCCTAAACTACCCATTACCCCAACTAAAAGGACAATTTTATATTTTTAGACACCAGTTGCATCTTCCACTCTGCTCTTTATTCACACTGTTTGTTCTCAAATGACCAAATTTAAGAACTGATGATCCCTGTGCCATTATGACTGACCAGTTTTTGACCTTCTTTCCTTTGAATTTCCAACCTCTACATGGACTCCATCTGTTATATTTCTCCATCTTAGTTCAATGAAATTGTCTTAACTATAAAATTTGTTTTTGTATCCTTTCTGCTTACAGTTCAACTATGGCCATAGAATCTAGAATTTAGATACACTGAATCACTTATAACAGAAAATATTATCCAGTAACATCTAAGACATTATCTTAATGATGCTTTACAACCCGTTTTTCATACAGGCAATAATACCTGAATAATACCATGTCCTTGGGCAAATACTTCTATATTGTCAGCTTTCACTGCAGTGTTTTCTAGAGCTCTTCTGACTGAGTGCACTGTGTAGTCAACATTATTAGCTTTCAGACCTAAAATTAAAAAACAAAAACAAGAAAAGCAGTGTTAGAGAACTCACTATCTGAAACCCTAGTTCCCCCGAACCAGTATGACGACATGCAGACTCTCTGGTTTTAATGTCTTGTGTTTCAACACTCATTTTTTAATTGTTTTTCAAAGTGACCTAAACAGTCTGAGTCAAACTGCTTGCATCACACTGAGACTTCACTCCACAAAAGTCACTGCATGTCCATTATGCAGTGGCATTAACGCAGGATATGCAGAGGTAATATAAATGTACAAGCACACACCTAAAGGCACTGGAATGACATTTTTCTTTAAAAACATTTTCTTTAAAAGAACATGGTTATTGGCAGTGGTTTTCAACACAACTGCACATTATAAACACCAGGGTAACTTAAGCAAAAAAGATGCTGAGGTCTCATGACAGATCAATTAAAGCAGAACCTTTGAGGACTGGATCCCAGGAATTCCTATTTATTAAAAGCTTTCCAGGTGATTCTAGGGTACAGCTAGGTTGGGAAAAACATGGAGGTCATTAATTTGTAAGCCTTGTTATCTTGACTGTTGTTAGAGATAAAAGATGATTACTATACCATTCTTCTCCTCTCCAGAACTCATCAAACTAAACTATGATATTTTAAGAAACAAACAACACAAGCATGGAAACAATGATGCTAAAAGAGCAAATCAAGAAAGTGACCAATTTTGTCAGAGAGAAACTTGAAAAAGTGAAGCTCCATCAGAGCAAATAACAGATGAGCTGGGTCTTACAGAACGTATAGGAGTTTGCAAGGCCAAAAAAATGACAGAAAGGACTTCTAAGTAGAGAAAGCAGGAAACCCAAAGATGGAGGCACGAGAGACCTTGAAATATTTGGTGAGGTTGAACAGGACTAGAAAGTGGATAGAGTCACATCAGGGATTATTATCCTAAGAGTTTGGACTCAATCTGGTAAATGATGTGGAACTGACAGGGGTTTTTAAATAAGTGGTACATAACCACTGGCTTGTGTTGGTGGGTCTGTGGCACCAGTGTGAATCGATCACTTTGGGGAGATGTGGTGAGCAGAGAGAGCTATGATGGTAAGGAAAGGGGTGAATAAAGGAGGCAGGGGAGAGACAACTGGAAAAGGGACATTTTTGAGGTAAGAGCTTCACAACAGGTTGGCCATCCTGACTCTGAGTCCTAGACTGACCCTGATGACACCCTGTTAACACTGTGCACCACCCTAGAAATCCCTTCTTCCCTTTGTACTTCATTTTGCTCCACAGTATTCGACTTCTATCGTGTAACATAATGATTATTTATTTTGTTCAAAGTCTGTCTCCCTTAATTATAATATAAACCCCTCGTGGGCAGGTATTTTTGATGTTTTATTCAATAATTTAGCCCCAGAACTAAAAGACTGCTTGATAGTCATTAAGAGTAGACAGTCAATAAATGTATTGCTGAATGAATGACGACAGATTCAAACTGTCATTATCATATTAATTATTTTCTACCTTAAACTTTACTTTGTGTCCTAGGACATTATCAATTCTACCACATGTTCTTACCTAGAGAGCTTCAGAAAACAAAAATATTCGTCTGCAATAAGGTAAGAGAGTAATAAGCAATGTCCTTACCTGAAAGTATCAGGGCAATGCCTCCACACGCATTAGGGGAAGACATAGATGTCCCATTCATTAGCTGAGTTCCCCTCAACGTCCAGTTAGGAACAGAAGCAATGGCTCCTCCTGGTGCACTGATACTCACTCCAAGGGCCCCATCAGCACTAAAAGGAAAGCCATTGAAGTTTGCTTATGGTGGTCAAAGGTGGGGATACTTGGACATTCTTAAGGAGGCTACTGGTCAAATCAATTATAGTACAATACTATGGACTATTTGCAGTCATTACAAATAATGACGGAGATACTACTACAGAAAATCGACGGGGAAAACATATCCAGCATAGCTATTTCCCATACGCAGCATTTATTTTTTTCCTTATAAGTGAACAGAAACCTCTGTGTGTCTGGGGGTTTATGTGTGACAGGCCAAAGGTGTCAGGTATATTTACAGAGAGAAAATAAATGAGTATCATTGCTCAGACTCCTTAATTAAAGTACTTCTCTCTCATCTATAATAAGTAGATTTCCCCTCTTAATTTAATATAGCACTGTACAATAGAAATATAATGTAGGCCACATCATGTAATTTTAAATTTTCTACAAGCCTCATTTTGAAAAACAATATTTTAAATAATATATTTTATTTAACTAGACACATCCGAAATATTATTTCAACACATAATTGATAGGAAAAAAAGAGTTTACATTCTTTTCTGTACTAAGCCTTCAAAATCTGGTGTACATTTTATACTTCTAGCACATCTCAATTCAGACCAACCTCATGGGACCAGGTGGCCGCCATACTAGACAGCTCAGCCTAACAGGACTGCCTAATGGAGGGCTTTAGCTAAGCAAAGCCTAATGAGTTAAAGCCCTCACAGTTTGTGATCACATTCTCATCCAACACAAGCTCTGTCCTTTGTCCCAAGTAAAGAAATAACATTATCGGCATACTTTCTCCTCCCTGGAAAAGTGGCTATAAATTCCCCACAGAGGTTGCTAGACTCTCCCTCAAACATTCTTCCCCCAACTGAGTGAACTATTTTTGTTCCTGACGAGGAATCAATCCTAGGGCTTTGGATTTTTACAAAGAGCTGACAGCAGTGTGGATTTGAAACGGGTTGGTGGCACCCCTTTTAGTGAAGATCTTAGAACAAATATTAGGTAAAAAAAATCTGTTGACCTGTAAAGATGCTCATGACATATTGCTGAGTGACAAAAGTAGGTTATAAAAGCGCCTGAATAGTGAGACCTCCCATATGCACTGGAGAATGACAAAAAGGATGTTCATCAAAATGTCACCCGTACGTATCACAGATAATGAGATTTAGGGTGATTGTTACTTTCTTGTTTGCTCTATCTATATTGCCTAGTAATGTTCATAATGAGAAATGGGTATTTTATAATTGGAAAAAAAATAACTGGAAGAGTCATGAATTCTTTTTTTTCACATGGCAAACTTCATAAACAGAGTCATGAATTTGAACTGACCAGTTCCTATTGCTCTTTATTAATTTTCTACTAGCCTGTTAAAGTGGCAAATCATAAAGCATTTCTAGGTATTTAAATCGGTACTAGAAAAATGAGTTGCATGAAATGTAAATAAGTGTTTCCTTAAAATTTAAAAAACAACAGTCATATTTTTCTTCTAAATTACAATATACAATTCAAAAATATAAAATTCAAAACCTGTTTATGTAGACATTATTTGGTAATGTCATTAAGAAATACGCCACAAATCTATGTAACCTAAACATTTGTACCCCTGTAATATGCTGAAATTAAAAAAAATTAGAAAAAAAAAACTAAAGAAATATGCCATATTTGTAGACACCTGGAAGTCAAGTAAACGCTGTGTGTCTGACAGTCAGTGCTGACCAAGAGGCAGTGTTTTTCAAAAAGTACAGAGCACATTCTGTTCAGTGATCATTAGTCAATGTTTTATATATTTTATAGTGTATAATAATTAAGTCTAATAATTAAACCAAATAGTTTGCAATATTTCATGTTTCAAATATAGTAAACATAAAATAAATTCTCTCAATTCTTAGAACATCTGGTTTGTGAATCATTATCTGCTTTAATCCAAACTTCTCCCATAATTCATGAACTCCTTAGTGTTTTCTTAAAATAATTCTTTAAATGTTCTATTGCAAATAAGATTGGCAAAGGCTGGTTTAAACATTCTCTAATACTTTATTTCTTCATTAACTATAAGACAAAACTTAAAATTTCAAAATCAATTTTAGAAGAGAATTAAGTTTATTAATTTGATACTTTTACTAACGGAACATAAAACAAATTTTTGCTAATTTTTCACTCTCATTGCTAGTCACTCTTATTCAGTGATGTTAGTTGGGCTGACGAGGGTGGTTTATAGAGATGGTATAAGGTGAAACTTTCTGACCCATATGGAGATCCACAGCCTGATTGTTTTTAATCACGGTTTATAAAAAACTACTAAATTTATTCTTTAAAAAGGAAATTACCTCAGAGAAGACTACGAAGGTATTTGTAACTCAATTGAATATAACATTATCATATTTGATCTGATTCCAGCCAATTTTTCTCATTGTATCTTCTAATATTCCCTACCACGTCTTTTATACTTACACACACCCAACTCCTAGTTATTTCCTCAAAAACTTTACACTAAAACCTGCTTATCTTTGGTTTCATGTTATTCTTGGCATATCTGCTTCTCAACATCCTATCCATCTTTGAAGGCCAACTTGAATACCATCTCCTCCATGAAGGGTCCAAGTGATTGCTCCCACCTGTTTCGTTGCATCATCCTAAAATGGCATTTTGAATTCAGATCGCAAACTATTGATTTATGCCTTGCCTGTTGCAGGCACTAAAGTATCTGCTGAACTGGATTCAAAGTCTATTCTTTTTCTAAATTAACTCTAAAGAGGTAGAGATGAATTAAAATAGGCTTTATTTTTCAGAAGGTACCTGTACCACTGATGTCATAATGAGGGATTATATAAATTTGGACTTAATATACCTCTTTAGAAAGATAATCAGTTTCTAGAATCAGATAAATATAGTTCATAGAGGGTTTCAGGGAACCAAAACAGATGAACTTCATTTGTCAATCAGAATTTGCTTACTTATAGATCTCACCCAAAATTGTTCAAAGCAGATCATAACTTAAAAGATGAACATTGGTATGCAGGCCCTATACTGTGATGCTTTATAAAAGCTTAGGGATTTTGTTTCACTGAAGTTCAAATATCAAAATTATTTAAAACAAGGCCATCACTACTTTTCAAGGATAATCAAGTCCTTACTTTTTCTTTAGATCCTCGTAAATGAAGGATTATGAATATAGGCATAAGAATTTATCCTCAGAATAGTTATGTTACTCACCTAACAATGAAGCGATTATTTTATTTAATTATCTGTCCCTGAGATGAGACTGCTAATCAAAATGAAAATATTGAAAAAATTAAAAGCCAATAGAAGGAAACATTATCTAAAATTCTGCCCTTTCCAATCATGTAAAGTTTAACCAAACACATATAATGATCCCTGTACTACCTGCACCTACCTAGGGCCCCTAGAAGACCATGTGTATTGATTTGCAGGTAATTTCTCTCTCAGCGAATACTCAGCAACCATCATATCAGGAGAAACATAGGCACCAACACCTGTGGAATGAAATTTTATCATTAACAAAAGAAAGCCAAATGTGTATCTTAATTCTAAATCTACTGTTCACTGGGGTAAACTGCTTAATCTCTCTACGCTAGTCCTCTTTTATAAAACAGAAAGATGAAATTTAATAAGGAAACAAGGAAGTTTACTATGTACCAGACTTTATACTAAGTACTTTGCTTTTGGGTATAAAAATAACTATCTTCCAAAATTATTTAGTGGATTAAATATAATAACGTACCTAAAAGTATCATCTGTACCTCTGTTGAACTACTTTCTCCAGTCTACTTTAAACTACAATAAACTCTAGATATGCTGATTCCCATACTAGACTGTAAGTTTCCTGAAGACACAGTGAAGGTCTACCAGTATCTTGCATGTAGTGGAGATAAAATTAACATTTGTTTAACTGTCATTTTTTGTTTACTTGTTTTTAAACAAATCTATTTCTAAAACAGGAAACTAACCTATCACACTTGATGTAGTTCCACCTGGACAACCGACTGTAGAAAGGCATGGACCGTTATTTCCAGCACTTGAAACATAAATTATATTGTGCTTCCACACTGCTTCATTAATTACTTCACAAATTCTCCTGAAAAAGAGAGAATTCCTTTGAACATATAAACTGTTCCATTTTTCAAGAAATACATTATAATATATAACATAATGTGAAAAAATTTTCAAATACAATTTATATCATAAAACAAACTAAAATATGGTTTCTAAATTGTAGAACTGAACAGTAACTATAAATAAGGAAGTGTGCATAAGAATCACTCAGCAGACATACTCAAACTATAAACATTCTGCCTCTATTCCCAAAGTGTTTATAGTACCAAAACCTTGTTCAAATATATGAGTACATAAATTTTGGCACTTACATCTTTGGTGAAACATGATACAGCCATTCTAAGTGATACACTCCAGTTGGGTTTTAGCATAGAGAAGGAGTCACGAGGACAGATTAAATGTGGGAAAAATGCTAGATGCCAAATTTAATATATATGGGAAAATATACTACAATACTAAAATCTTAACAGTGACTGTGGCAATAGGTGTTTCATTTACATCCTCCACTTAAAATAATGTATTCAGAAGAAACTCCTCAGATGATTCCTCTGCATATTTGTGAGGAGGAACTGTTTGACTAAAAGAACAATCTTTAGCGGCAAAGGTAAGTTAGGACACGAGGAAAACCTTAAGAGTAAGATTTTAAAATATAAGAAATCTAGTTACAGCTTAACGGGAAACAAGAAAAACTTGCTGACATTAAAGGAGATGAAGTTAGATAACAATGAAGAAGAAAATGGAGTTAATATAAAAAAGGTGTAGGGCCACATGACTCTTGCAAATTATAAGCCTGAATATCTGACTAAGGAAAAAATATTAGAGAAAGAGGAATTTAAAAGGATGAATATCAAAGGAGAGAAAGAAATACACGTATGTAACCAAGACAATAAAGTGAGAGGATATGTGCCAAGATTGCATTAAAGAATGAAATGACTAAGAATGACAGGCTGCATGTTACAACGGCAGTAAGGTGATGTCTCCCAAGAAACCCAGTACCAGTTATTTGAGAAAATTAAGTAATTTGATAACAGCAAACTACAGGGTCTGGCTTGGTAAAATTTCCACTCTGATAAGACATTCTTCAGAAAGCAGATAATGGGCATATTTGCATGGCTTGGTGGTGGGAGTAGGAGAGAGACAGTCAATAAAGTTAATACTAGAGATAAAATAATTTCAAATAGTTATTACCATTAAGAAAAAAGGCAAAGTAACATAATGTCAAGGCCACAATGCTGGGTTTGGCGGTGAAAGACACTGAAGATAAAACGAAGAAGAGGAGGAGTGTGTGAGATACACTGGGATGGATCAAGGAGACGTGGACACTGAAGATGTGGAGACAGTGAATACACACAACCAACAGGAAGTTTTGCAGATCAGGTGCAAGGTCACTGAAGGGTACAGCAGGGTTTCAGCAAGTCTGGGGGTATGTCAGGTATGTAGCTTCAGGGTGCTTATGAAATGAGTAATTATAATGATGGATGGACCATCATATCTAAGCTGGCTGGGAAGGAGGTGAAGATGCAGTGGAGTCAACAGTGAAAAAGTACCACAGGGGTCTGTGGGTTGCAAGTCTCAGAAGAAGAGTTAGGGTGGAGTAATCAAGTAAGAGCTACACTGGACAGCAAAGGAATGCCTGTAATCGAAATTTCAGGCATGCTGCAATGAATGGCATTAACAACATCAAAGACATGACCACGGGAATGGGGGCGCCCTGAGGTTCAGGAGACATACAATTATTATCTAAGCACTGCGACTGTTCTTTCCATCGTGACATTTAATCCACTTATGAAAAACATTTAAGACTCCTTACCAGCTAAGTTTCTATAGCTAATGACTATGAAAAAACACTCACCCAGAATTTGGCCAGTGAGTTGCTTCTCCATAGCTGTAGTTGACAAGATCACACTTATGATTTATAACTTCTATCATCTATTAAAAAGATTAAGAGTTTAGTTTAGGCAGCAATTTACAGAAACAGATTAGGCAGTAAAATAAAGGTATATATATAATCCTACAGTTTCTGAGCCAATCACACTCTAATTTATAAGTTACTTCCAGGCATATCACTATGTGTTTGAACATATAAACAAACAGAAACAAAAAGGTAAGAGGAGACACATAATAGTCAAAAAATAAAAACTAAAATTTCCAGAATGGAGTGGGGTTAGAGGTAGAGGAAATAGAATGGTCCTTATTACTAGATTCTAAAATCACTCAAGTAAAATATAATTCGTATATTAAAATGAAGTACTGGCCGGGCGCGGTGGCTCACGCCTGTAATCCTAGCACTCTGGGAGGCCAAGGCGGGCGGATTGTTTGAGCTCAGGAGTTCGAAA